CACACACACACACACACACACACACACACACACACACACACACACACACACACACACACACACACACACAATATAAAAAACTCTGGCCAACTTTGATCAGTTGTTTTCCCTCCTCTGCTCAGCTGATGTCACTCCGGTCATTTCCTGATCTTCCAGCAATCATTTTGAAGCAAAACGATCCTTTTGAAATCGTTTCATTATTCAATCATCTGCTTTAATTTCACCCCCGCTCCCTCTGCTTATTGACAGCAGCATGTTTTGCTTCATAATTTAATACGACTCATCATTAATTGTTAAACTGCTCAGAAGCCTCTCAGATAGACTTAATTTAATTGTGGCTGTATGAAAGGTATAAACATATAGACTAGCCTACATTTTTTAACACGAACACTTTCTTATAGTCATCCTTTAGAAAAATGTTTTGGGGAGGTGGGGCCTAAGCTTTTATCCTTAATGGCATTTTTTTCTCTTTACATTTTATACTTTAAGTACTTTTAAAGTGCCTATGACATCATTTTTTTGTAATAACTAATTTGTTTTTGAAAGGATAACAATGGTAACATATTGCAAAAAAAATCACGTTGCTGAGATGAACAGTTGTTGAGATATTCACATGTGAAGCAACAGGAAGTGATGTCAAATGGGTATTTCTGCATGTGAACAGAGCGTTGCTACAACAACCAACAACACAGACTGTAGAGAAGAATCGGATTAATCTGATGATCGTTTTGAGTCACTATTAGAGGTGAAAATTGCTTCAATAAACAAAGAATACAGTTTTCTTTATTAAATTTCCCTTTGATGTCACTTCCTGTTTCCCTTTGGCTGAACCAAGTTCAAAAGAAAAACGTGCCAGCAAAATGGATAAAATCATGTGTATTATGTAAGTTTCTTAAATATAAAGTATACTTGTAATTCCTGTAATACCTTAGTATAGAGGTGCTCAAAGTGGAGCCCGCGGGCCAAAATTAGCCCACCAAGCCATTTGATTTGGCCCACCAGCAGTTGTCCTGGGGCCTCATGCATAAAGGAGTGCGCAGCGTTCACATTAAAAGTTGATGTACGGAGAAATTTAGAAAAAAAACACTGATGATGAAGAAGAAGCTAAGATACTAAGATACTAATATTCAGATATTTAAAATTGCTTTCTAGTGAAGTGGTTAAAAAAAGTGTGCGCCGTACCAAAATATTCAGATGTATAAATCCATGCAGGTTCCTGCACCTTTCCTTTATACATCCCAATGAACGTGGAACTGAGCGCACCTGAGACACCTCCCCTGACACGCCTCCATTTGAATATGTAAAATAGATGTAAATGTGTCCAGAGTGTGAGATTCTCCTCAGTTTGTCCTCTCTGTGGGATCAGAAATGATTTTTAGATGCAGGGAAATTATACATTAAACGGAGAATGAGTGAGAAAACTGTCTAAATAAGTAGTGGAGTGTCTGTTTTATGTGGTGCATTCGCACGGGATAACCAAAGCCTGAGATTTTCCTGAAATTTACAGACATCTCCTGAATGTGATATTACAGCCTGGTTAGTTGTTTTCTATTTGGTTGAACACGGCATTGAATGGACATTTAAAAAAAATAAATAAAAATGAAATTAGAAAAAACAATAAACATCCCGTTATCCACTTTTTCCTCTCTCCTTTCCTCCTGCGTTACAGCAGGTGCTGTCATCTCCACGTACAGACCCCCACCCCACCTCCACCAGCGGGTACGAGTGGTAGCCTACTGATTTTTAGCAAAAATATTGGTTTTTTGAGGCTCATTAGACGGTAAATGTCCAAAGGGGTTGACATATATAAACACCTTCCCAGGTGGCGAGGGTGCGCGCCTGGCACGAGAATCTACCCAAAGCGCAGCTGCTGCGCTCCGGCCACTGATCAACACTCCATCAGCCAGAAGACAACAGAAAAAATAATTATTCTTACTGTACAGTGAGCCACCATTTGCATTTGATTTTGCTCCCTCTCTTCAGCCTTTTTTATTTAATTTTTTTTATGCCACATGTAATGTGTCGGGTTTTTCTGGCCCGATACCCAAAATGTTTTCAACTATGTGACAAAAATATAAAAACAGTTTACAGACTGGACTGAGGGTCTTTGATCATTTTTAGACTGATCTATTTTCTTGTCTGAGGTTAAATGATTTTCAGTCCCGGGGTTTAGTTTCATCATCGTTCGAGTTTAAACAATAAAAACTCTAACTAAAATCTGACACCGTCTTCAGACGCTCCTTACATCCAGAAAACACAACAAAGTCATATTTCTGTGGATTCAGGTCAGATTCGTGACTTTGTGAGTTAAAACTGTCGGCTGAAAAACTGCGTGGCTGCTGCACATTCTCACGGCAGGTGAAAAGTGTGCGTAAATATATGCACACTTTCACGCAACGTTGGTTTTTTATGCATCACGTGGACGTAGAACATGGTGCACGTAACTGTTTTGTGCGTGTGCACCATTTAAACGAGGCCCCTGGTTACTAGATTTTAATTATGTTAAGAATAAATATAAAATACATGTAACTACAAGAGACATTTAGATTAGATTCAAGCCTATAAGACCACATATACTCAAATTTTAAATTAGGAAAAGTCCCATGAGCCTTTGCTGCCTGACCATACGTTGTATTTTCTCCATGTCCATGGGCTGAAAAAAAAACACTTAAGAATGTAGGCAACCACACTGGCTGCTAGCTTAATCATAAAAAATAAAACAACTTTACTTAAGTATTTGCATTTCTTATATTATTGTGTTTGGCCCGCGGCCCTCTGATTGATTTTAATTTTGGCCCTCTCAGGGAAAATGTTTGGGCACCCCCACCTTAGTATCTATACTAGTGTTTAAAACGTGAAGTAATGAACATGAATAATTTTGACACATCTGCTGGACTTTCACCTGTGATCTGAGGCTTCTTTCTTCTGATTGTGGGTTCTGGGCCCGTATTTATCAAACTTCTTAGAGTGGATTTTTAGACGTAAGTGTTGAAAATTTCTTAGATTTACTCTTACTCTCAGTTTAAGTGTAAGTGCCAGTTATCAAAAATCTTAAATCTAAGAATCACTCTTACTCTCCCGAAAAGTTCAGACTGCTCCAGAGGAGTCTTAAGTGGTTAAGAGTTGCCATTAGGGGTCTGAGAAGACAGATCACAACTGTCCTCCTCCCTACCTGAGTGTTCTTCTCAGTTAGGTTTAGTCAAAAACACAAAAGAAACAAAGGTAAAATAAAGAAACTGTGCAAAATGTTAGACTAAAAGATACGTGGCTTTTGGAGAAAATGTTAAATATACTCAGCTGGTGAGAGGAGGAGGGTGCAAGCTCAACATTACCTCAGGCTCTGACATAAAAAAAAATCTGTGAGGTTTTCATCTGTTCTCATGATGCAAATGAGGACATTTTCTATAATTTACAGACAATCGGTACAAGGTGACATTAGTGTGTTAATTCTAAGAAGTTTGATAAATACGGGCCCTGGACTGACTGAAGAAAAACAGGGCAGTCTGCTCACCTTCTTTACAAACTGGTTTCTGTAGCAGCAGGTTTCTCAGCTGGAGTTTGGTCTTCGTGTTCTTGTGTCTCCAGCAGGTGCTGTGAAATCTGCCAGTCTTCCTGACGGTTCCTTCCAAGGCTGCATCCGTAACATGAGCGTGAACCACAGACGTGTGGAGCTGTCTGAAGCCGTGTCTGTGCATGGAGCTGTGGGGCTGCGAGGCTGCCCACACATGTAGTCTTCTCCTCACATTCCATTAATAAAACTACTGGTGGTGGTGGTGGGTGTCATCTTACTGTAGCTAATTTAAAAACATAGTCCTATTTATTATCAGTACTTTTCAAAAATGTGTATTCTATATTTTCACATTACACATATGTTTGGTGCTACTTGAGTGAAACCTGTCTGCACTGAGCTGTTAAGAGCCACATTTACAGCTGTCAGTCTGTGGTCTGCACATACCAGCACCAAGACCTGGGACCAGGACCGGCTCCCAACTTCCTTGAAAATAAAAGTCTCTGAAAACATAAAAACTGGAGATCCTTCAGTCCATAAAGCACCATCTTCACAGAACAGCTCCTCTTCTGAAAGCCACTGCACACAAGTGTTTCAGCTCTGTGACTACCTCCTCTGAAGACACAGTGGAGTAACAGCAGCAGGTTTACTTTAACCAAACTTGAAAGCTTGTAAAACTGTTCATGTTTTGTCCACCAGAGGTGTGTTGTAACCAAGTCCATTTAATTTGTTACAGTACCTAAAAGTCTTTTTTTTGGAGGAGGATTTGTAATTTTACGAAGTATATTTTTAATCTTTTCTTACATTCAAAACAAAAATAAATGTACACGCTACAAACATAAATATACAACAGAGTATTAGGGCCACAGAACAAGATTTAATTAATTTTTTTTAAATTACGAGATTAAAGTCATAATATTACGAGAATAAAGTTGTAATATTACGAGATTAAAGTCATATTACGAGATTAAAGTCATAATATTATGAGAATAAAGATGTAATATTATGAGATTAAAGTCATATTACGAAAATAAAGTCATAATATTACGAGAATAAAGTTGTAATATTACGAGAATAAAGTCATAATACTAGGAGAACAAAGTCACATTATAAGAATAAAGTCATAATGAGATTAGTCATATTACGAGAAAAGTCAATATTCTAGACTTTACATGTAAAATCATGCAGTTACTGCATTAAAATGAGGAAGGTTGAGCAGCTTGTCAAGTTGTTTTTTTAGTATTGCTTAAAATAAACAATATTTTAGCACATTAGCATCAAATTATCAGTAGCAGGACCTGGAAATTGTGCAAACGACTATAAACTGAAGCTGTATTGTAATTAATGGATGCATTGACAGATTTAGTCACGTAGCTAATTTGGATGAAAGCATATTAATCTAACAGTGACCCAGGTCATCACAGACTACTTTATAAACACAGACAGGCTGTACACAGGAGTGAGGAAATGAGGAACGGAAAATGGACACGTCATGTAAGATCGACTTTTTTTCTCATATTATGACTTTAATCTCGTAATAATGCAACTTTAATCTTGTAAAATTATTTTAATCTCATAATAATTAAAAAAGTTGTTGAACTTAGGTAACCAAGTTGTCAGTTGGTTCCACTAAACCCAGTTCAGTAAATGTAAAGTAATATACTCATCTTGGTTTAGTGGAACCAGTTTGGTTCAGTAAATTCAACACTTCAATTTTTAGTGTGTAAAAGTACTTTACTGAATATTGACAGAGGTTTTATGACTTTTATGTCATTTTATCAGTAATTTTTTTTTCCATTCAGGTATTTTTACCTTTACCAAGTCATTTTTTTGCAGTATTTATATACCTCTGACCTCCACACACACATTCATGAGCTCATCTACTGACGAACACGTCAGGTGGGTTTAGAGCAGTTTTTAATGCTCATCAGAGGCTTTTAGACCAGGACATGTTTTGTGTCACAGCTCAGCTCTACACCTAAAGACAGGTTCAAGATGACAACTTTGCAACCATTTTGAGAGAAAGTGTTGCAGAAGTGACAGTCATCCTGCACAACCACAAACATGTTGGACTCTCTTACATATAAACTGTCCTCTGAAGATGCTGATTCAACCAACGAATGGTAGAAGCCCTGCTCTGGAAGCCCCTCCCTCTAGATGCTCCTCTACTGTCCAGGAAGCGTTGGTGTCTGCTCTCCAACATGATGAAGCTTCTTTGTAATGATCATGTCAGAACCAATCAGCTGTCTCGGTCCTTCACTTTAATAATAAATGTGTTTCATATAACCTGGAGTCCTCTGTGTGTGTTGTTGTTTTGTTTTTAAAAAACAGACCAAGCAGAATGAATGAGTTTTTATTTTGAAGAGTTAATCACAAAGAAACCTGCAGGTTTCAGCTCTAACAAGCTGTTGTGTCAGAAAAGAGACAAGGTAAGCTCCTCCCACATCCCTTCTGAAGCTAAATGTAAAGAACATGAACACCTGAGCAGAACATTGCCTTTGGTATGGAAAGGTGTAAGACAACGCTGAAGATAGAAAGAGAAAGAAATCAAACATTTAACTGGAATCAAGAGTTTCTAATTGAGACTCATATCTTCATCACCCTCCCCTTCCTTCTCTTTAGGGGCTCCTTTGCTGCCCTGCATGGCTCTGGCAAACGCCTCCACATCTGAAACACACAAACCAGTATTTACTGCAGCAATACCACAGATGTCTCCATTCATAGTAACTCTTGTGTACTCTTAAATACATGAAGTGATAAAATATAAAAAAGACTGGAACAAGATGTTTTAGTTCCAACATGTGAAGAATCAAAGCTGCAGCTTGTAGGTTTGATTTGACCTTCAGGAGGCTGTTCTATGATTTAATCACTCATGTTCACCTTATTTAATCTAAGTGTATAACAGTTTTGAAGGAAAATGTATTCTTTTTACTGATTTTTAATGCATCACACATACTGTTTTATTTAGAGGTTAACTAGGATATGTTTCAATAACCTATTTTGTGTAATTATCTATTCTCATGATTAGGATTTAGTTGAAGTGCAGTCTGGTTTGAGTGACACAGTCGACAAACTGAATGCACTTTACATGATATTAGTTAATGCACACCTTAAACACTTATTTCCTCTTTAGTTTATAGACTGTTGTTTAAAGGTTCTGGGGMCTCATGCATAAAGGATTGCACAGTTGATGTACGGACAAATTTAGAAATGTGCACCGCACCAAAATATTCAGATGTATAAATCCATGCGTATGCATCTTCCTGCACCTTTCCTTTATACATCCCAATGAACGTGGAACTGAGCGCATGTGAGAAACCTCCCCTGACACGCCTCCATTTAAATATGTAAAATAGATGTAAATGTGTCCAGAGTGTGAGATTCTCCTCAGATTGTCCTCTCTGTGGGATCAGAAATTATTTTTAGACGCAGGAAAAATACAAATTAAACGGAGAATGAGTTAGAAAACTGTCTAAATAAATAGTGGAGTGTCATTGTTTTATGTGGCGCATTCGCACGGGATAACCAAAGCCTGAGATTTTCCTGAAATTTACAGACATCTCCTGAATGTGATGTTGTCTATTTAGTTGAACACGGCGTTGAACGGACGTTTAAAAAAATGAAAAATGAAATAAAATAAAACAATAAACATCACGTTATCCACTTTTTCCCTCTCTCCTTTGCTCCTGCGCGTTACAGCAGGTGCTGTCATCTCCATGGACAGACCCTCACCCCACCCCCACGTGCAGGTACGAGTGGTAGCCTACGGATTTTTAGCAAAAAATAGATTTTTGAGGCTCATTAAGACAGGTAAATGTCCAAACGGGTTTACACATATGAACGTAATGTTATGCATATAACTACTGTTCCCTGAAGGAAAGGAACGAGGTACAACATCATGTATGGGAACTAGGGATGCAAGTTATCGATTAATGAATTAATCTAAAGTTGATTGATCTTATCGATCG